CACAAGGGTAACTGTGTAAAACTAAACATTTGACCCATAAGATCAAAAAAAGAACTTCCAGGAGTAAAAATATTCCTTCAGAGATGTTAATATATTGATCAGGGCTATGACTATATAAAAAGTTCCCATTTTGTAGACAGTATCTGTTGAGAATTTCCAATCAAGAAAAAAAAGAGTTGAAGCACATTCCATTTTAATTTTAATTGCATCACTCCCCAAAAGTTTGCACAACAGGCACTACAGTAAATTGCTGCGTAACCTGAGCTTTTTCCAGCAGAAATGCCAGCTTCGGAGGTTCTTGCTGATAAGGGTGGCTGCTTGGCAGTGTTCTCAGCAGAGTTAAAAGATTAACATAACACCAATGTTGGTTCTTTTAGCAGAATTTGTTTCAGTCCTTTGGTCAGTTGGGCCACACCGACGAATTATTATATCCAGCTATGAATATTGCTTGTGGAAGGTACAAAAGGGAAATAAAGAAAAAATTAAACGTTAATACTTTACCACTGGTATCCCACTTCCTTATGTGTTAATTTTTCAAAAAATCAATCGAAGTATTTGTTCAATTTTAACATTCTTTGCTTATTTTTGCCAAAATCTTTGTCTTTGCTAAATGTCTAACTCAACTTACCAAATTGTCTATGATAGTACACAAAAAAGCAATATGCTAATATTAAAATTATAGTTATGAATAACTAATAATAATTAAAATGTTATTTTATGCATTTTATAGCTGGAAGAGGGCAGAGATTGTGCATGCGTGTGTGTGTGTGTGTGTGTGTGTGTGTGTGTGTGTGTAACATCTCCTTACACACAGATACAAACTCAAGAGACGGATACCAAAAATATACCCATTTTTCACGTCATGAAACCAAGCTATCTGCCATACTAAAAAATTTGGAACTCAAAATGTGGGTGAAAGAGAAACTTTGAATGTTTATACATAAGTGAGTTGTATTTGTATTTTAGCAAAATAACTCTTGTGGCATTGAAAATAAAATGTAGGGGAAATATTTAGGTTACCTGGGATAAGTTTGATCCTTTCTAGATTGTTTCTAAGATTTCTTATTGTGGCCTCACAATACCCTTTAGTCTTGGATTAATTTGACCCCCATCACTGAGGCAATACCTTTCTGAGAACTGCACATTTGAGCCTGAAGCATGCTTTGACTCTTTCAAGACCAATATTAATCCTATATGCTAATAATGTGATCACATTCTTTGTTTCTATTATAGAATTTTGTTGAATTCAGTAGCATATATAAATTATTTGTTGGATACAAATTGAAAGTCTTTGGACTACCGAGGAGTTTCCATAATAATGTATTTAGATGGGATGTAATCCTTTTCTTTTACATCTTTATACTCATTTTTTCTCTACTTTGCCTACGTATCCATGATAAAAATAGATAGAAAATACAGTTTTGTGAGATAAAACATTATAGCTGTCTTGTGTACCTGCAACAATTACACTTGGAACATAAGCAATGACAGAGGCTGTATTTTAAATTTTAAAGTCCCAACAGTCCCTTCCAAAAGTCTAATCTCTACTGTCCTTCAATTCATTTCCTTTAAATCAGATTAAATTGACCATATGCTTTCATTCCACTAAGGAGAAAAATACTCAATCTCAGTCATTATTGTAGCTCCCAGACCACACTGTCTGAAAATAAAAAAGTTCCTGAGGGATTTATGCAGAGCAAAATACGTAGGGCCGTCCAGCTGTACTTTGGCTGATACTGTTTTCCATAAAAGGATGAACATTGACGTGGTCATTTTAAGTGCAGCACTGTGCAGCTTTTATCCATTCCGTAGCACAGAAATCTTCGCTAAGGTTGGTAATAGCAGTGCTTGCTAGTCTCTTAAGTACAAATACAGTCATGTTTCCAGAGTCCTGTCACCTCCCTGGAAGGAGAGAGCAGCGAGGAGAAACAAAATTGTTAATTTTGGCAGTGTGTGAAATGTTGTGACTGCCTCTTTTCCCCTCCCACTCCTCCCTCCCTGTGCACCCAGCCAAGGAACAGATGAAGGATATCTCATGAGCTCAAAAAGAAGGGGAGACCTTGAGAGTGGTAAGAAAAATAAAATAAAATAATGAAAGATTCTCAAGAGAGGGAAAAGAGAGGCGCATCCAAGGAATTTGAGGCTACTTAGCTAACTTCGAAAGTCTGGCCAACTGGTAATCCAAGATTCAGGAATGAAGATTTTGAAATGAGAAATAAAATTAAAGTAGCTGAAATGGTGAAATGGAGACTAGGAGCTACTTCTGTACTCCAGAACCCTTCTGGTTCTACATTTTCTTCTTGCCTCATTCAGTTGTTTGCCAAACTAACATTCAGGTTATGTGGGACATTGACTACGCTGTTTCTCCTCTTCCTCAGTGCAGTTCTAAGGTTACACGTATACTCAACCACTGGACTTATTTATTAAATGGCAACCATATTTCCAGGATTGAGGGAGACACTGAGATCCAGAAATCAAAGTGTCTATTCCTTCCCTCACAAGAGCCACACTCTGATTGAGCAGACAGGGATGTCACAGGTGATAAAAACTCAATGTTTATGCCAGACATTACATATGATTACTGGGGATATGTAAGGAACTGGGGGTAAAAAGAAGGGTAAAATACTGAACTCGTTCTTAAAGTGCGTACATTCTAAAATGTAGAAAAGACAATTTTTTTAAAAAAAAAAGGATATCATGTTATGGTCAGTTCCATATGGGGTCCATTACTGCTCTTAGACCAAGGAAAGAAGGTCCCCTGTCCTGAGGCTAAGCTTCAGAAGATCTATCACAACCTTGCAAAAACCCCACAAATGTACTAGAGAACCCAGGGACACTTCTGCCACCTGAGGAACTAGACCCTAGTGTGGGCACCAAATGATCCTTAATCTCCTAAACTTCTTAACACTAGATATTCACTCTCTTGATTAACAAAATTCAACCCCAAGGCTGAGATCCCAGAAGGACTTAGTGGGGAGCCTAAAGAATAATGATGGTGGTGGTTGAGCTCCCTTCTGTTCTCTTTGGCTCTGGAATGCCTGCAAGGAGCTTAACATATGTTTGCAAACCAACATTTTCACAAGGAGCTTGTTCTAAGAAGCTTGGAAAAAGTCAAGAGGACCATGTATCCTTACTGCCAACTATTTCCCCATTTTCCACATCTTTTTCTGAGATCAGTTAACAAGCATAACCCTAAGGAATCAGTCCACCAGATGCTTTTTAATTGATTCTGAAACCTCAGTGTCTGGGTAGCTAACCACAAATGACATACTACAATGTGTGAATATAGCATCAAATGTTGCATGCTTTGTTTCTATACCTAAGTAATGCTTTAGGAATCTTATTGTCACTGCATTAGAAGAGTGAAATCTCTCCAAATTTAAGTGAATTATAAATAAATGTAAGAATTAAATGATTCATGCATCATCTAAAATGGCACTATTGTCTGTAGAACAAAAATTATGTGACAATTTCAATTATAAAAATGTAATTACTTATTTTGCTGGTCAAGAAAAATAAATTTTATACAATAAATATATAATAAATCTTAAGTTATGTATGATCTTATTTTGTATGCACCCTGACATTCCCTAATAACAGAATACCCAGATATGGAATTGCAAATTCACTTATCTCTGATATTTTGCTGATTCTCATCATATAAAATCCATAGCTTTATATATTTTTTAAATGTTGTTAACATACAGTCATGTGTCACATGAAGATCAGAATACATTCTGCAAAATCTGTCATTAGGGTGTTTGCTCCTTGTGTGAACATCATAGAGTATGCTTACATAAACCCAGATGGTATAGCCTACTCCACCCCTATGCTAGAAGCTCTATTCTATTCTCCTAGGCTACAAGGCTGTATAGCATGTTACTGTACTAAATACTGTAGGCAACTGTAACACAATAGTATTTAAACATATCTAAACACACAAAGTATACAGTAAATATATATTAATAGTACTGTAATCTCATGGGCTCACCATTGTGTATTCCATCTGTAGTTGACCAAAATATCATTATGCAGTGCATGACTGTATATCTGTGAAGATAGGAAGATAGAACTCATTTTATTTAACATTTTCTTAGCTAGTTAAGAAAACATTAAATATTTAGACAGAGAAACATGGGCCTCTCTGAACTCTCTCTCTCTCAGATTCCATAGTTGTTAGATATGACCTCATGAAGCATTGAAGGAGTACATATGGAAGAAAATTCTGAAAAATTATCCTAAAACAGATGACTGAAAAGATGAATTTGGGAAAAAAATCTCGGTTATTATATTTCAATTTGTACTAATTTTGATACCCCTCAGAGGAATTTGTATGTTTCTGAACAAGAATTACTTCTGTTTTTATCTACACTTAGAGTTCATTTTATAAATGCCTGGAACACAACAGAGCTTAATAAATTAAATAGGACATACTTGGGAAAGAAAGGAGAGTGTAAATGATATGTTTCAATAGTTAAGATATCAGGTGAGAAAGCCATTAATTTTAACTAAAATTAACATTTTAAGTAAAGTCATTTTATGATAACATAGGACAACAGAACATGATTAAGAAAAACAAAGAATCAGCATTTCTTGATTCTTCAATAGATCCTTGAAAAACTACAACCACAAGGAAAACCCACTGTTTGATGGCTTAAGATCCTGTTCCACTGTGCTGACATTTGTCAAGGCACTTAAATTGTTTGGTTTAAGAAAATCCTTTGTTTCCCCACTATTAATTCAAAGAATATGCTTATGTTTGTTCATTGAAGAGTTTCTAAATGTTAGAATTTCAGTAGCAGGAAATTAATTTCTCAACTTGTACTTTCACATAAGAGGCATCAAATTGTTCATGTGTTAATAGGCTGACAGCTATTGTTATTTCCTGGTGGGACACTTTCATAGTCAGAAGAAAAGAAGGCTGAACACCAGGTGCTGTTTATCATGTGGTTTGATATACATTTTTGAAGGTCTGAGGTTTACACTGAATTTATAAAACAAGCCACTGAGTCAAATAGAGAGAAATCTAGATTCTAGAACAAGGTTGTGGAGTCAGATGGTTAGGCCAACAGTGTCTGCTGTGCTGAACCTTTGGCTACCACTTCTCTCTCACATGCACTGAGTCAGAAAATGTTATTTTGTGGGCTGTAGCTACTTGTCAGGTTTATGACTCAATAAGCTGAAATATTAGCCAAATGAAATATTGTTGAGCAATTCAGACTCCTCACTCATAGCACATACAGTGTTGAATATAGTCATCTGTACCTTCAAATCTGCTGGTCATGATTCCACTAAGAACCGCAGAAAAGAAGCAAGAGGAGAAACAGTCTGGTGTTAGCTGCCAAGGGCACCAGGATGCCAGCATGCTAGAGTCATGCTGGTTTCCCCCTTCACGGAAGTGACAAGCTCATTACAAATTTATGCAAATATGACATGGAAAATAATTTCTTGAAGAACATTTCTTTTGTCATATGTTTCCTGGTTTTCTTCTGGCATGGCCTGTGAATGATATCAGTTTATTTTAGAGTCTAGCATCCAATATTCCTGGAAGCTAGGGCTAAGGAATGTTCATTTCACAGGAAGGCCAAGGTCTGAGATGCAAAGCTGATAGTAAGTGAGGCCCCAGGGCAGGTTGAGGACAGGAAGTGGTTTCACTAACATTCCTTTCCTTTCTCTCCCTGACCACTCCCATCTCAGAGTGGCCAAGGATCACTGAAGTAATAGTAATAATTGTCATCTAAACCTCAGAACAGAGGTGCCTGGCACTTGAGAGTTGATCCACTTCAATTTATTCAAGCTCCCACTAAAAACAATCTCATTTTGACTTACAGGATATGAATACCAATTCCCTAAAGCAAAGCATAGTGAGAATTTCAGTAAAAGAAAAGAATACCCCAGAAGAAGTATTCAGTAATTGAAGAGTCAACATCCCAAGGGTCCTATAGCAGCTCACCCTTGGTCAGTGAGAGCTATGCAGTCAGCCTCACTTACCTCATTGCTGTGGTCTGGCCAGCTCATCTGGGCTTACAAGAGCAGTTTGATAAATGGTCAGGAAATTTGATAGCCAGTTATTGACTCTTGGAAGCATAATTTTGGCCACAGTGGGAGTGTTTATAGAAATCAGCAAATGCTACAAATCTGATTTTAAAAAAAATTTGAAAGCTGTCTTACCAACACACCACTGCTTATAGCTCTGCAGGAACATAATTTGAATGAACTTTATCCTGTTTTTCCTCCCCTTATAGCCTCTGTCCTCTGCCCTCATTATTCTCTGCTGGGATCTCTTGGACATTTTTTCCCCTTTAGCTGGTTTTCTCTTTCACTCATTGATTTTTCCTGGGTTTCACCATCTAGGCAACTCTCACGCACAGAAAATTCTTAGGAGTTGTTCTCACCGGACTGATAGCAATGCCACTTTTATTTATTATTATTATTGTTATTATTTGAAACTAAATAACTAACTAAAAAGCAAAGACTCTAGGAATGAAATACTAGAAGATGAGGACTTTTTTCCCTCTGGATCGTAAATCTGGGCATTCTATGCCTACATGTCCTGGGGCTCATGAAGCATTCTATTTTGCCCCAAATTACTATTAATAGGTACTGAGAATTTGATATCTCTTCCTATCAGCCAGAATCTCAAAATGCATTATCTTTTCTAACCAACAACTGAAGCTTGCGTGCCCTAGAAGTTAAGTGTGTGTCTGCAGGAGGCTTAAATATTCCTATGTGAACGTGGAAAGTAATACTGTATTTTAGAACTGAAGGGATCTTAGAAATAATCTAGTTTAATTTGCTCATTAGTCTGGTAAGTAAACAGAGGTTCAGAGAGATTAGTAGTTAGTGGTAGAATCAGTACTAGAATTCAGATTCCTGGCTTCCTCTTCTGGACATTTTCAATTCTGCAACAATGTCTATCTTATTTAACATTATAATTAGGACCAAGATAATCTTCGTTTACTGCAAAAAATATTTTTGACTACCAGATATATTTCTATGTGCACTTATTTTTTTACTAGGTACTGTTCCAGGAGTTGAGGCTACTGAGAACTCCACTTTTTTTTTCTCCACTTTTCAGGGCATTCTTTTGAGAACTAGGTCTATTTGTATTGGCATGACTTACCTCTTTGATCCAGGAAATTCTTACATAGAAAATAAAACTAAGCTCATGGAGAACTTTTCCATTTGCTTCAGGTAATTCTCATAAGTCAGTTTATCTAGGACATCAGTTTGCACACCTGAGCTAGCAGATCACTCCTCAGACAAGTTTGCTTGTTCTAGCAAGACCCTCGCCGCTTTTGTCCACCAACTCTATCATGCCAGCAACTGTGCCCAATTCCGGTCCTTTCCCTACCTTGTCAGATCAGTTTTAATTTGAGCCCAATTCTCTGAACATCCTCCTTCTGAGATACTAAAATGTTGTCAGAGCATTGTTCCTCCTATTGAGTAATTGTAATAAATTTAACTTTTCCTGATTGAAAGATTGAAAGTTTTTTTTTTGTTGTTGTTGTTGGTGGTGGTATTTCTGATGAATTGGCAGTTGATATGTTCTATTGGAGACTAGAACATAAGAATGGGGAAGGTGATATTTATAATAATCTGTATGGGTATAGTTAGGATCTTCACATGCCATGCTATGTAGTGACATAATTTGACTGGGAAATGGCTGTTTAAATTGGCTATACTGATAGCAACAGGAGATAGACAGATTCTTAAGCAGACAGGGATGTGTCCTGGTAAAACCTGACCTCCAAGTCAAAGACAGCCTGAAGCCTGAAAACTGAGCTGCCAGTTCTGGATAGAGTCCATGATCAGAGTGAGAACTGTCTCGATGCCTTTTAACCAATCTATTGGTGCTTTTTCCAGGCCCACCCCTGGACCAATCAGCATACACTCGCTCATTCTGAGCCCATACAAACCCCAGACTCAGCCTTACAGACAGCTACTTGCTTTTGGGTCCCCTCTGACACAGAGGACTACCCACTTCAAGTCCCCTCTTGTGTCGAGAGCGTTTCTGTAACTCAATAAAATTATTCTCTTCCTTGCTCACTTTCCAGTGTCTGTGTGTGTCATTCTTCTTGGTCACAGGACAAGAACCCAGAACCTGCCAAATGGCTGTAACACATATTCCTGCTCACTTAGTTACAGGAGTGAAAAAAGGCACTGGGTGCCACATGTCCCTATTTACTGAGCTGCAGACAGCAGGAACAAATGAGCTGTAACACAACACAACCTCATTCTCCAAGCTGCAGGCAGCAGGGAGAGATGTAACATGCGTCCATCCTATGAGCTGAAGACTCAAAGAAGTGAAGCAGCTAGGTACCAGTCCCTCCTGGCTGGCCTCCTGAACTACAAAAGCCACAAAATTTCTCGGGAGCTTGGACCTCAGGATTCCCCAGGCAAGCATTTTAACATCCCTTGAGGCTCCACAGATGCGGCATCTCTGAGTTTTCAGATGTCACCACATTTCCCTCATCTAGACTCTGGCTCCCAATGCAGAAGCCACTGGTGGCATGCCCAGTTTAGCCACAGGTGAAGTAACAGTAACAAATGAAAGAAGATTCTGTTGTATGGTCAAAATGATGAAAGAGACCTACATGATTTTATGAAAAGTTGTCCTTAGCTTCGGATCAGAGCTTTTTCTTTCCTTGACACTAGTGGTATTTTGGACTAGGCATATTGGTATCTTTCTACCTTTCTGGATCTCCACTCAAATTACACTGATGTCTGCTACATTACAATTAGCTTGTTAGGTTTTATTTCACTAAATTTGTAAAGAAAGCCACATTTTGTTTTCTCTTTTGTAGATAGTAAAAGCAAAGTTCATGTGGGAAAGGTTTGGCAATAGCTGATTCATCCTCAGGGTAACAATATTCTATAACTTTTTTCATCTTGAGGCCTCTGTGATAGAAATGCTTGGAGAAAGGGATTTTAAAGGGAGATTATGAAATCCTTGGGAAATTCCACAAGTGGACATGGCTTCATAGCCAGGGTAACAAATGACATTGTCTAGGAAACAGTGAGTCATGGCATGCTTAACTTAGAATGGAGCCAACAGAAGGAACCTGGCCTTGGACACAGGAACTCTTGGCTGCTGAGCCAGAATGACTGTGAAAGACCAACACTGTTCAGCAGATTTTTCTTGAGTATTTACTATGTGTGAGGTGCTTGGGATTCAGAATTCAGCTACTATTGTAAAGAGGAAAACAATCAGGAAGTCAGTTAAGAACAGCTGCAGCGGGTTTCCAGGCTACAGGGTAGAGAAAGGTTCCCAGGCCAGGGGGAAAAAACCTTCAGCTCTTAATCCATACAGGGAGGTAGAGGGTGAAAGAATGACCTTTCAGGAAGTGCTCAAGCAGGGGTGCTGCTTGGGTTGAATTTTAAAGAATGCATAGGTTATATCAAGCCTACAAAGGGAAGGGTATTCCAGATGGAGGAAATGGAATGAAAAAAGACTCACAGGTACAAGAATTTCAAAGGCTGAAGATGAGGGTAGGAGGAGGGATAGACAGAGCCAGAGAAGAGCCTAGAGAGACCAGAGGGGCCAAGTAGAGAAATGTTTTGATCAAAGTCAGGGGAGTAAACTATATGCTCTAAAAAGCATGGCATGAAATTGGACACTGAAGGTTAAAGCCGGGGAAGGCAGTCAGGTTTACATTTTAGAAAGTTCACTTGGCAGGATGTAAAGGAGGAGAGCTTTGGTTCAGAGATTTGCATAGTGGTCTGGGCCACAGAAAGGAGGACTTGGCTTAGCACAGTGGGGTTAGGAAGGAGGAGGAACTCCACTAAAAAGTTTAATTTTTAAAAATTAGGTAAAATTACATGTTGTAATAGTTCAGAGATGCAAGAGAAGTAGAAATACTGACATGTAAATCATGAAGTGGAAGTATTGACGCTGAGAAATACCAACAACATGACATAAAATTGTGTGTACTATAAAATCTTAGTTTTGTAGCATATACACAACACACAGGATTGAAAGGAAATGCATCGAATCCTCAATAGTCATAATCTCTGGGTGGTGAGAGGACAGACTCTTTTTCCTTTTTTACACTTCTCTATACCCACACTGAATTATTTGCTATAAGAAACTACAAGAATTGTTAAGAAGGAAAGGATAGAAGGAAGAAAAAGATGGAAGAAAAAAATGAAACGAAGGAATTACGGAAGGAAGACAAAAGAGGTTTGAAAGTTGCTAAGGAGATTTCCTCAATGATATAAGGGAAATACAGGTTCCACAAAGTGAAGTGGAGTCATGATTCCTACAGAAGCCCTTTAACAAAGCAGATATTGCAGGCTATAGAGCCAGCATGGATATATAGAATGTAGGCGGAGTATCCATGAGGTGGGGGTTGAGGTAGCAGAGTAGTTATGTCCTCCTGTCTGTCCGTTGTT